ATTCAGAATATGAAAAAGCTCAACATAAGACAGTCATTTTAACCCTTTCCATTACTGTCAAACCAGACTGATAGGGTATGCTTCTAAATTGTGGGAAGATAATGCCATCACAAAACAAAGTAATTTAAGTTCCTGTATGTGATGTTGAGAGGAGACAAACATCCATCTGTTGTTCCACCCCTTCATGCCTTCATTGGTTGATTCCTGCATGTGCCCCAACTGTTGATGGAACCCAAAACCCTGGCACAACCAGATGATGCTTCAACCAACCAAGCTATAGGAACAGGGCTGTGATGTTTATATTGAGGTAGGTCATGATGTTTCCCTTAAACTTTATGATCAATTTCTTGTTCCCTATACCTAGAACAGATTTCTACTTGGCCGCCTCTTTCCCTTTATTTACCTTAGAGATACAAAATTAATTTCTAAGTTATCCAATTTTTAAAAACCTCATAAAACTGGACTGTTCTCATCTGTTACAATTTTAAAACTTCAAAAAAATGCTCATGTCAATCAATAAAGTTCTTTTTTACTATTAGTGATTGTGGACACATTTAAATTCAGTCCTTAGAAAAATATCAGAGAGAAGGTGGATGCTGTAATTAGAATTAACAACTTGTTTCTGCACTCCTTTAATTTTAAAAATTGGCCTGGGAATTTTTCTCTCTTAGGAAACTGTTACGATTAAACTTGTGAAATGGCATCTAATACTTGCCAAGTATTTTCTAATTTCTGTCTATTCAGGTTGCAGATTTCTCTTCCCAAAGTCCTGACACTAACTGTACATGTTTGAATCTAGATTTGGTCCCCTACTCGAAACATACTTGTGAATTTGAAAAAAAACAAAACAAAAACCTGGTATAACTTGAATCCCCACCAGGTAATGGTTGAGATAACATGCAAAGGCATGGGTAAAACTAATTACAAATTACAGTACTTGTGAAACTTCCAGATGAGAAGCCATTTCCAAAGTTACACTAACATGAAATCCCTTGAAATAGTCCAACAGAGTAAACTATGAATTAGGATGCAATGGGTCTGAATTTTCAAAACAATGTGTGTGTGAAAGGCAGTTTTTCCCACACCACTTTTTAATTTAAAATATATATATATCTTTATTGATTTCAGAGAGAGGAAGGGAGAGGTTGAGAGAGATAGAAACATCAATGGTGAGAGAGTCGTCATTGATCAGCTGCCTCCTGCACGCCCCCGACTGGGGATCGTGCCCACAACCCGGATGTGTGCCCTAACCAGGAATCGAATCAGGATCTCCTAGATCCTAGGTCCATGCTCAACCGCTGAGCCACACCAGGCCAGGCCCACACCACTTCTTCTGATACAGGAAAAATACTAGTCATTTAGACTTCCAATCTTCTAAAGTCTATCTTCAATTTAGTTCCTACATTTTCAGTTCATCTTACACATGTTGTTACTAAATTAATCTTTCTAGAACACAAGTGTTACTTCCCTTCAAAAAAACTTCAGTAGCTTTCCATTGTTAGGGCAGTAAGTTGAAAAAAGCCTAATATTCAGTGCCAGCATTATTTGGTTGTCACCAACTTTCGAAACTTTATCTGGAATTATTCCCTTGCACTCTGGAATATCTAGGCCAGGGATTGGCAACCTACAGCCTGCAGACCAAATCCAGCAGGCTGTCAATTTTTGTATGGCACTCCTGGTAAGAATGATTTTTGTGTTTTTAAAGGTTTGGACAAGAATATTTTGTGACATATGAACATAAATTTAAATTTCAGCATTCCTAGTTTCTTCTTTTTTTTAACAGTGACTTTTATTTTTTTACATATTTCCTATGGTTGATTTCATACTAAAATAGTTAATTTCTGAAGTTGCAAGAGAAACCTTATGGCCCTTATCTGCTCCTTTACAGAAAGTTTGCCAACCCCTGACCTAGGCATACTTCTGTTTCAATCTCTTCACCTACCAAGATTCCTTCCTTGGAATGTACTACTCCCACTCATTCCTGCTGTCACCTCCATGAGGTGTCAAAGTAGAATTTTCAAAAAAATTTAAAACATGAATTCCCCCACAAATATAAAATAGTAAGCCAAACATTTAACTCATTGCCAGAACCAGCAAGATGGTAAAGCTGGTTCCAGGAGCATTTAAGGAAGTAGGTATTTATAGGCATAAAAAGATTCTAGGTTAAACAAAACTGATTACTGTTATCCCAAGCAATAAAACTAAGTTTGAAGTTAGCTTTTCTACCACTCAGAAATTTACAACATAACAAGTAAATTCACAATCTTTGAACTCCAACCAAATAATAAGAGTCAAACACAGGTACCTTCTCCCAGATAATAATCCTTGGGCAGGCAGGTTAAAACTGTCACAGTATGAACTGTAAGGTCATCATCCCTCCACTCCTTGTCTTATTTCCATGTTTCAGGTAATTTTCCTTAACAAGGTCTGTCCTAATCCTTCCGGTCAGTATCTACCTCTCCTTTTATACTCCGATTACATTTTGTACTTCTATTATCCTGATTTGTGCATTTTATTTTCCCCAACAGGCAGTAGGCTCCTTAAATCAGTATTTTAGAGCTAAGACTTAACCTTCCTTTTTTTTTTTTTTTTTAATCCTCACCGGAGCATATTTTTTCCCATTGCTTTTCATAGAGTGGAAGAGGGAAAGGGAAAAAGGGAGAGGGAGGGAGGGGGGAGAGCGAGAGAGAGAGAGAGAGGCATCATGAGAGAGATATCGGTTGCCTCCTCCACTGCACCTGCAACCAAGGCAGCCTGCAACCGAGGCTCTTGGTGAGAACCCAACTCAGTACCCTTCAGTCCGCAGGCCAAGTCTCTAACCACTGAGCAAACAGGCTAGGGCTAAACCTTCCCTTTTAACGGGATTTGGGCATAGGATCCAATGTCCATAGTTCCCAATACCTGTCTTGCACAGCATAGGCACTAAGACCTTAATGCTGAATATGAAGCCTCCAAACACTTTCCAAAACGTCTTACGGCACTTTCAATAAACCTCCTTTGTGTTCTAAGTACATTGGTGTACTTCTCCCTCACCCCGCTGTTACATGGCCTTCTTCGAGTGTTGGCACGTACCGTTCTTTGTCCTCTAGTTACTATCCCTCATTGCAGCCTAACCGAGTACCTTGCACAAAGCGGTACTTCCAGAGATCCGTTAGAGATAGGGAACCCCTCCTCCCCCCAACTGATGTGCCTGGGGTCACCGACAGTTCTAGCCTCTCCATTCCCACAAACCTAGACTCTCCACTCACATGACCTTCCTGTCTCACCTACAACAGTAATCTCTCAAAGCGGGGCAAACGCCAGACCCAAATGGCAAACGTTTCTCCTCTGCCAAAGACCTCAAATTTCCGCTGCCCCTGGACCTGTTTCCAACCTTCAGAAAAATGGCGAGGTGGACCAGGCCCTGGACTCTGAAGTTCATCCCTTTCCGCAAATATCACCAGCACAGGCGATCTTTTCACATCTTTTTTTTGCGGTGGAATGTTTCCTCCGCGGGCTTGTTTGTTCCCTCAAGAGTAACCAAACCCCTATTCCACTTTTCAAGCCTCCCGACTCCGCGCGTCCCTCCGCCTCAGCCTTCCTCCCGTCAACACAGCCGTTTCCCCGGGAGATCGCCCACAGCGCGCGGAGAGGCGGTTAGGTCGCCAACGGCTTTCCAACACGACGCGGGGAGAGCTGGGGAAGAGGCGGGAGCTAGTCGAATCCGAAGGAGCAGGCGAAGGGAGGGGCCAAACCCCAGGAAGGATCGCGAAGAGCTGGGAGGCCCCGCCCTTTCCGTAGATATCTCTAGAAAGCCGCGCTGGAGCCCGAAAACAAAGAGTGCGCAGGCGCGGCGGCAGGGCCCGGGCATTTTGCTGCGTCACCAGCCGCCGCCCGGCCTCACCAGCCCTTGCTCGCACGCACGCACGTTCATTCTCCGTCCTCGCGCCCCTTTTCCTACACTTTCCTCTTCTCTCCGACCGGAGGAGCCGCTCTCTCCGCGCGGTGCATTCTGGGGACCCAGGTCGAGCCCGCCGCTGCTGCCGTCGCCTGAGGAAAGCGAGAAGAGGCCGCACCGGGGAGAAAACGCCGGAGTCGCCGCCGGAGTTTAGTCCACTGCCCAGCAGCTACCGCCGGAGAGGCCCACCCACCCAC